AAATTTTATATCCCCCATCTGAACACAGCTTTTTGATGTGAGTGTATGAATACTTTGCGTCGGAAAGGGCTCTTACATAACTTTTCCAAAAGCGACCAATTTTTGGTGGCATTACAATACTTCATAATGCCAAACAATGCCAAAATTTAGCTCTTATGCATGCCGTTCCACCGCGCCTTTATATTGGCTGTGATTATCACTTGACTTGCTGAGTTACATACTCATAATCGTTTTAATATAACCTAATCAGCCATCTGTAATTATGTGACACTTAAAGAAGCACGATTGTCAAGTTTATGAAAAAATCTGGTCTGTTCTGTGACTTTCTATTCTGTTAGGGCTTACTAAAACTGGTTACAAACAGTGAAGGTTTTTTTTTAATGTATTGGATATTATTGGCCATATTTATCTATATTCTTAAGTGTTCAACTTTCATGGGGTAGATTTATGAATATAATTTCAACCTGATAGACCGTTCTACAACTTCATGTATGTCTTCATCTAAGATACATTACAGTTTGTACCTTAGTTTATGTCCTAATATGTGCGACGTTAAATTACAAAACAGACAAACGTTGAACGATTGTGTTTTAATCTGCTTTCACTTATTTTCTGAGTGTTGAGTCCGGTTCAAATCTGTGTTACTACAAAATATTCCCCGCATGTTAAGCTGTGGTTTCGTTATAAGAGTGACAGTCAATCTCTTAACATGAATTGTAGATGGTATGCCTTCTCTGTGATCAGTAGTTCAAAATTAAGAATGAAGGTGAAAAAAATCCAGTGACTTTACCATAAACACAAATTACAAATACTTATTTATTAAAATCAGCATAAATGTATAAACAGTTGACCGGTGATGTGTGTGTGTGTGTATATATATAGATATTAGTTGTTGACATTACTGTTGCTAAGTTAGAATGGAATTTCTCAATGTGTCTAATAGTATGTGACCATTCATCGGGTATTGGCAGTCCTTTATTGTCATTTGTAACTGTCTGATTGCAATAATTTGTTTGGCAATAAGTTCTCACACGCAACGCAACTACAAACAGGCCAACCAATACCCGATGAACGGTGACGTTTCAGAGACATGTAGATTTTTGTTTATCTTATGTCTATCATATAAATAATACTAAATTAATAGTTTAATGTATGATATATGTGCGGGGAACAATATAACTATCATAGAAACAACATGAAGAAAATAACTACCAATTTCCGGTCATTTCAGTATTCCTTTTCCTGATTGTTATGAGGTAGAGGTTAATTAAGTGATCATACTTTTACATTGATATATAACCACGTTCCTTATACAGATCTCCAGGTCATACAATAAGTCAGTAGCCAACACATTCGGGTCTTTTTGCTTCGTCTGCTTTTCATAGCTTTCCTCTACTGTTGTCAATATGCAACAATAGTACATGGAATTACCGAGGGAAAATGTTAAAGAATTGAAGCTTACGTGATTATCAAGATAGCGTGACGTATCTGTAGTTAGAAATAGACTACGTGTTTTAATTTTCAAAGTAAAATTTCTCTCGACCAGTATTACTATTTGTAATCAGGTCGTACAATTGTCGAATTCTGTGTACAATCCATGCAAATAGAATAACATGATTGTGACGTCAGCAATAACAAGAGCTTTAAATGGCTATTAGAAAAGTGGCTGTTTCAGACAGAGCATTTTAAATGTCGGAAATCACTCTGAACTGTAATTTTTTTAACTTTATTTTACTTATATGATTTACATATACATATATTAGATTGAGGCATTAAACTGAAACTATAAAATTTATTGAATGAAA